GTTTATATATTTTAGATATTAATACCTTATCATCTATGTCACTTGCAAGTATTTTCTCTTATTCTGTAGGTTATCTTTTCACCGTTGATTTGTCCTTTGACTCACAGCAGTTTTTAGATGGATGTAGTCTCATTTGTCTATTTTTGCTTTTGTTGCTTGTGCTTTCATGTCATATCCAAGAAATCACTGCCAAATCCAATGTCCAGAATTTTCACTTAGGTTTTCTTCTAGGATTTTTATAATTTTGCATCCTACATTTAGGTATTTGATATATTTTGAGTTAATTTTTGTATATGGTGTAACATACGGGTCCAACTTCTTTCTTGTATATGTGGATATCCAATTGGCCCAATGGGATTTGTTGAAGAGCCTGCCTTTCACCATTGAGAGCTATTGGCACCCCTGTCAAAAACCACTTGATCAGATATGCGATTGTGTATTTCGGGGCTCGCTGGTCTTCTCCGTTGGTCTATATGTCTGTTTTTATGCCATTACCATGCTGTTTTGATTAGTGTAGTAATTTTTTGTAATAAGTTTTGAAATCAGGAAGTGTGAGACCTCCACCTTTGTTCTTTTTCAAGATTGTTGTGAGTGTTTGAGGGCCCCTTAAAATTCCTTATGAATTGTAGGATGGATTTTTCTATTTCCACAAAAAATATTGTTGGAATTTTGATATGGATTGCACCGAGTCTGTAGATAGCTTTGGGTAGTCCTGACATTTTAACAATATTAAGTCCTTAAATCCATGAATACAGGATGTCTTTCCATATATTTGTGTCTTCTTTAATGGTTTTCATCAATGTTTTCTAGGGTTTTTTAAAAATGTTTTTTATTGCTTTTTCCTCCACAAATTCCCCCAGTACATAGTTGTATATTTTAGTTGTGGGTCCTCCTAGTTGTGTCATGTGGGATGCTGCCCCAGCATGGCTGGATGAGCGGTGCCATGTCCAAGCCCAGGACTCTAACCAGCGAAACCCCGGGCCGCGGAATCAGAGCACGTGAACTTAACCACTTGGCCACGGGCCGGCCCCTGTTTTCTAGTTTTTAGCGTACAAGTCTTTCACTTCCCTGGTTAGGTTTATTGCTCAGTATTTTATTCTTTTTGATGATATTGTAAATGGAATTCTTTTCTTTCATTTCTAGATTCTTCATTTAACCTAAATTTTTACTTGTTTAAAAAGCGTCATTGTTTCATTAATTTAAAAGGCATCCTCATTTTAGATCCTCCTATTTCATAGATCCGTAAAAAGATGAAAACATAAACCACTATTATTCCCATCACTTGCAGAAAGACCCTGAAAATTTGGAGTTTTGTTTTTTCATGTTATTACATGCACACATGGAAATGGAATTATAATTATCTTAGGTTGAAAATTCATTTCTACACTCTATGCTGTTAAGCAACCATCAATTCTTGCAGAAAATTCTTTCCACATTTAAAAATCACAATTCAAATTCCTGGTTTATTTAAAAGAAAAAATCCTAGCACAAGTATGATTGAAAGTGCCTCCAAATTCCGCTGCCCAGTAGTAAACATAATGAATAGCCTGGTCAATTAATCTGTTTTTGTTTTTCACCATGTATAAATGATGAACAGGACATGTGGGTTTGGATATATATGCAACAAACAAATGCATGTGTATATAGCGGACTTTTGTCTTTTGTTAATTTGTATAAATGTAATGACCTAACCTACGTTTTCTTCAGATTTCTCATAAATAACCAAAAATAAACAGAATGGATTTGTGAAGGGTGGCAGAATATACCACCCAAAAGTGTGCCACTTTGACATAAGACTTATTTTGAGCTGAAGGCACTTAAGCAGCAGCAGATGTGACAAAAGCTCCCTGACCTCCCCCTATTTGCCTAAAATAGATTGTAAAATTTCAAAGGTGTCCCTCTTCCTTTCTCTACCAGGAAGGAGAGAAGTTAATCCCTGGAGAAACCATTAGGCCCTTATCAGCCTAGAGATGGCATCAGAGAAATCTACATAGCAAGCTGTACTAACTAGCCCTTATCTACTATTAGTTTCCCATCTATTTACCTTCTCATAATTTTCTGCCCTAGACTCAAGGTACTTTTGCTTTGTCTTGTCATTTCTCTAAAAATTTGTTCCTTTGCTAAAATACTATGTGTGCTCAAGTTCTAACCAAACGTTTGAGTTACTCATCTCTGGGGACTCCCATGTGACATAGGCGTGATATGCATTAATAAACTTTGGTTTGTTTTCCTCCTGTTAATCTGTCTTTTTTTAATAGTGGTACCAGCTAAAAACTTTGAAAAGTAAAAGGAATATTATTTTCCTCTCTTACAGTGGGCAAATGATGTCTGCCATGAAACAGTAAAGTGACAAATTTACTGTTCACCATTCACAAAACTACTTAGAGATAAAAGAATTTTAAACAAGAACACTTTCAAAAGATGTTATAAGTTAGTATCATTCACAAGCCTGAGGTTAGGACAGCCTTTGCTGCCCCCTTCCCAGGTGAGAAGCGGGATCCCGAGGGCAGGCCCGTCACCTCCTGCTCTTTGCCAAGGACCTGCTCGGGAGCCAGCGCCTCTTCCTCCATCTTCCCCTGGCCTCTTCCTCCATCTTCCCGGGGCTGCTGCAGGTGGTGTCCACAGCCCGAGGTGGGTGGGGTGTGCTGGGCCACAGTGACTTGCAGGTTTTTCTGGCCTGACTGGTGCCTTTATTTATATTTTCCTTCATTTTGAAAAAAAGAACATGTTCTTTTTGCAAGGTAAGGTTCGCAGGATACCCTGTACCTTAGAGAGGAAAAGGAAGATAACAGGTGATGCCCCCAGCGCAGAGATGAGGGGTGTTACATTGGGGCTTGTATCATCCCAGGAGGTTGTTCCCTAAGGACAGAGAGAGAAAGGGAGAGATGCAAATAAAGATCCTTTAAAAACAATAGTCTAAGGAGCTCCCTAGGCCCATGGATAACCTGCAGGCTATTTGGTGAATGAAATAATTGACTTAAAAGAAACCCTTCTAAAAGAAACCCAGGGGCTCTGCATCAGCCCCAGGGCAGCGCAACTGACTGGTGACGGCCCCTAACTCCTCAGAATTTCCTGCCTCCATTCCACTCCCCCACAGAGGACCTGCGAAGGCTCAGGCCCCCCGGAGACCACCTGCTGTCTGGCTACTCCCAGCCTTGGCTCTGACTCATGGCCCCTTTCTCTCACCCCCTTTCTCTCTGCCCTTTGGGCAGGGATGAGGGGATTTCCAGGGCAGGAGGGAGGAGGACAATGAGGACCCTGAGGTGCTTTGTCCTGGCCAGGCAGCTGCCTTTTTGCAGTTCAGGTCAACACAGGAAATCACAAAACCCTAGCTACCTTCAACTGAGGGGGAGCATTTTGGGTGGAAATATTAATGCTCTGCCACAATCTCCTCACCTGTGAACAATGGAAAGTGAAAGGTCTTCCACCGCTTCCCCAGGTGGAATTATAGGACAAGACCTTCCACCATGAGCCTAAGCTGCCCCTCTCTGGATTCCTCCCAATTTTTCTTGTCCTTCTCTTTTGGGAGTAATGGCTATTCCCCCAGGCAGGGAACGAGGTCAACACTCTTTCTTTTCTGTCCCTGTTCCCTGGATAGACAGAGATTCAGTAAGTAATCATTGTGCTAAGAAACTGAGGTCCCCAGAGACTAAGTGGCTTTGCCAAGGTGAATCATGGTGGCACAGAATGGATTCACACATGTGGCTCCCAGGACTGCAAATCCATTAATCTTGTAGGGGAGGGAAAATATCTTTTTCTTCTACTCTTCTAAGTTCTCCACTGGGATCCCGGTAACAAAAGACAGATTAACTAGAGAAAAGCATACGCCCGAAGAAATGATTAAACCTGAGTGTTTTTATGCTAGGTTTGATGAAGACTGGAAAGTCATGGAAAGATTGTCAAGTTACAAAAACAGAAACCAGTTTAAAAGGCAAAGTGTTTATTTGGGATCAAAGAATTGCAATTCAGTGAGCACAGACTCAAACCCAAATAGTGTCCCACTAAGAAGTAAAAAGTCAGGGATTTTTAAAGGCAAAGAAGGGAGGTTGTATTGCAACGAATTTTAATTGGAGTTGGAGGCGGAGAGCAAGTCTTGACTGAACATTGATTGACTATTGATTGTAGCTTCAGAAAGTCCACAATCCTCAGTCTTTGTGATCAGGGTGCCCGTTCTCCTGCTGACTTCTCACACAACTGCTTGTAAAACAATTGCTGTTTTGGTCCAGTCAAAGCCGTGTGTCTGGGAAGGCGGCTCCTACTCCATTTTAAAATGGCTCCGCTATAGTTAGTTTTGAAATATGATAGGACAGAGTATGAGCTAAGTGTATTAAAATGGGGAAACTTACCGAGTCCTGTTCATTCAGATTCCTCTCTGTGTCCCTTCTAATCCAGAGATAAGAATGCTCCTTTCCTTCAGGTATAGGGAGGGCACCTCTCACACGAGGGTTTTATGCCCTGCTTCAGGAGAAGGTCAGAAAGTCCTTCCTAGTACATGCCATTTCTGAAATTTCTTCAGCTTAAAATAATCAATATGCCAAGGGTAGCATGTCCTGAACCTCATTACTATCTCCATGTAAATGACCAACAAGTACAAGAAAAGTACATTAAACATCATTAGTCATTAAAGAAGTAGAAATTAAGACCACAAGGAGATACCACTTCATACCTACTAAAAAGGGTATAATAAAATTAAATGGGACATGGTTGTTTTCATGTGGCATTAGGGAGTAACTGTAATTTTTATTAGGTGCAAGGATGGTATTGGTTTTTTTTTTGTTGTTGTTTGCTTTTTAAATTTTTTTTTCCTTTTTCTCCCCAAAGCCCCCCGGTACATAGCTGTATATTCTTCTCTGTGGGTCCTTCTAGTTGTGGCATGTGGGACGCTGCCTCAGCGTGGTCTGATGAGCAGTGCCATGTCCTCGCCCAGGATTCGAGCCAACGAAACACTGGGCCGCCTGCAGCGGAGTGCGCGAACTTAACCACTCGGCCACGGGGCCAGACCCCGGTATTTTGGTTTTTTAAAGACCTTATCTGTTAGAGTGAGTGTATGATATATTAGATCACATGGAATGTATCACTTATGATTTATGGGTGAAGTCAATATGCTTTGAAATACTGCAGCAAAAAAAAAAAGCCAAAACATAATTAGAAAAATGTTGATTATTGTTGAAGCCGTTGGTGGTGAAGGGCTTTAGAATGTGCACCCTGAAACATGCCTCTTTGGCATATGGATTATTTTGAGTTTAAAGGTGACCAAATCCAGCAAAGGTAAGAAAAACTCTTTACCTCTTCTAAAGGAAATTTACCTTTATAAAGGAAAATCACATTAGTAAAAGTATTTGTACCAAGAAGAGCACCACTCCCAGAGTGGTTTTCCCAGAGACAGCTTTTATGAAACTTCCCTTCCTATGTATGGAATTCAAACAGTCTTTTCCCTCCTGTTAATTTCTCTTATTTCAATTTAATTCTTAGGCCAGCCACAGAACTTAGAAAGACAGAAGGAAGTTTTTCTTCTCCTAGAGTGTAAATGGAATTTTTCTTATATTTTTCGATCTGTTTTGCTTAAAATTATCCGTAATTTTCCCCTAAGTGGAAGAATGATAAGAACAACTCTGCCAGGCAAAACTGATAAGGAAATCAGTTTGAATATGTTTTTGAAAATATGGGAGAAAATATCTAAAATAAGAGTTGATTATGGTTACATTTACAGAGCTGTAATTGGTTGTGTCTCCAGTTGAAACTAGAGACAGGTGAGTTTTGTTTAATGTATTGTAGAAATAGTCAAGGGCTTAATTGATGTTAAGGTATCTATTTTTAATGGGCCCTTGTATGAGAATGTAAATATGTGGGAGGAAATTCTGAAAGATGCGTCCTATACAGTTAACAGGGTCACCTTGGGAAATGGTGTGAACATTGGGACTGGTGGCCAAAGGTGACTTTCATTATTGGCTGAGCACCTGCTGTGTGCTAGACCCTGTTCTTCCGGCTGAAATACAGCCATGAAAGAGACAAAAAGGTCCCCGCTCACAGGGGTGGAATTTGCCTGAAAGAGAATGAAAAAATGGGATCAATATGACACATATATACCACAACAGGTGGTGGTGGGTGCTACACAGCTCCCTAAAGCAGGGAAGCGGAAGGGGGTGTGCAGAGGGTGTGGGGATCTGCACCTTCCTGAAGGTTCTGCAGCCAAGTCCTCACTGAGAAAGTGACATAGAGACCTGAAGGAAGTGAAGGGGGAGCCTGGTGGAGATCTGGGGGATGCAAGTGGCAATGAGAGGGACTATCCCGGGCCTCTTACTCACGTGACTCTTAAATGACTCAGCCACTGAGAAACTGTCATTTTCCCTCCAGTCTTGATGCAAGAGGTGCTGTGTAGTTGTATCTTGGCAGTAGGAGATTGGTGAGCTTGGGGCTAGAATTACCTTGATGGTTTACTTGATCGGGACATGGTTTAGGACCTTTGCCACTGAATAAACTGAGGCTCTAGCCATGCATACTAAGCGTGTGTGCTTGTATAAAGTGGATCTTTTGGGATACTTGTATAAATTGGTCCTTGCATAGCATCTTACTTAAGTGGCTCAGTCCCATTTTGTAAGCTGTTTATAGCTACTGGAGTGACAGTGCTGTACAAAACCCAAACTGTCGCATGCCACCTAGTGTCAGGATACTCATCCCTCATGGAATCAATAAGTTACAGATGGGAGAACATTTCCTTCTCCGTGGATGTAGGGCTCACAGGTTATTTATTTCGTTAACCTCAGGGATAGTAGTTTAAGCAAGTAGAAAGGCAGATCGTTGTCCTTGACCACAGGGCTGGATCCCAACAAGTTACTTTGCAAAGTCACTAAGAGGTCAGAGGTGACTACATGACAGTGGGTTTGCAGTATAAAGTCCAGGCCATCTTTAGGCTCAGGCTGATTTCTCCCGAGGGTGTGTAGTGGCTGGAAGGGTTTCTCTTGCAAAGCTAGAAAAAGACTGGCTTGTTTGTTTCATGCTGAATCTTTCCTTAGGGAAATTGATTTGTGTCCATTGCAAAGGTATTAAACACTGGTCTTTTCCTTTCAGGTCACACTTTTGTAAGAGACTTGAAGAGCGTGGTCTACGGCTTGTGCTGCGCCGCAGGGGTGTAGACCCAGAGTGCAAGCACAGGCGAAGATCAGACACTCATTTCACACTTCTGATAGGTAGGTAATACAACTCTCAGTTGCAGCGTGATGGTGTGTTACGCCCTGTTCTGTACAAGAGGCTTCTCTCTCAAGGTGGGTCTCTCACAGAACTCCCTCTGTTAGCATCTGGTTAGCACTGTGTCCATGCACCCAGTCGCCATAATTGTTCATTATGAGGATCATGAGAGGTCTGCCTGTGCGAGTGGAAATATTAACCTATTTGGTAAGTCCCAACACCCCTGAACTCAGTTTGAACTCAAAGCCTCCAAAAGGCCATTATATGACTGGAACTGATTTCACGTCCCTGGGAGGAATGGACTACAACTCTCAGTGTACTTTGTGTCTTACCCCTTGAGTTTTACCAGCATGACTTTCTGAAGTGTTTTAATCCAGTTTATCCTGGTGTCATGGAGGTTTCGTAGAAGTCGTGAGTATATCAGGCTCCATTTAATGTTATAGCTATGTTCTTGTGCTCAAGATGGAGGAAAGATAACAGGACTATTTCGGCAACCTGGGACCTTTTATAGCTGTCAGAGTAGCCTGATATTGTCATAAACCCTAGAGCGAGGAAAGAATTTGAGGCGATCCTGTGTGTCCCCCTGGATGCTGAGGAAAGGTCCTTCTGTCATCCTACATTGGAATCTCTGAAGGATGATGTGAAACTTCCCTTGGGAAGTGTACTTTGCTACAGGGCCTTCTAGATAAGCAGTTTTATTTATAGCTAATTGAAATCGCTATTGGGACGGATCAAGCGTGAACTCATCTGTCATTCTTTACAGGAAGTAAACTACAACCATTCAATGCCAATTCTGTATTATTCTTCTGGTGTATAGCACAGGACAGGCTCAGAGTAATACTGAAAGATCAATAGGTTATTATTACTTATGATGTATTTTTTTGTGATTTTAATACAAATACATATGTGTTATAAGTGAAGTTTGATGAGGGCGTCATAAGGGACAATTTTGTAGCAGTTGTACTGGCTCATCACCTCTTGTGGACCACATCGTTGGCACACTCTCCTGCTGACGTGGGTGAGCAGGTCAGGGTTCAGCAGACATCGGCTTCGTGCGCTGTGTGCCGGCCCCTTGTCACTGTGTTCTGTGCATCAGCACCTGGGGCAGGGAGAAATGAGGGGACCAGGGGAGAGAGGGTAGTCAGCAGCATAAACCCTTATGACCTCATCAACCTGCCACCTCTGATTTTGAACAAACCATTTTACTTCTCCAGGTTTCGATCTTCAACTAATATGTGAGTCAAATAAATAAGAGGCTCTTAAAAATTTATGGTCAAGGACCTTTTTGAGAAGCTAATGAATGTTTTGGAAATTAATTTTAAAAAACGCACATGTGCACGTACATACACAGATTAACAGATACTTCAGGAACTTTAAGGAAACCTATGGACCTCTTTCTTAAGGGCACCGGACTTAGAGAGCTTGTTGTCTCTCTCAGTTTCACACATCTACTGTCTGCCATCATTCAGATCATATCAGGCCCCTGCCTGAAAGTCTCCAACAATTTCCTATTGAAATTGGGCTGAAAATAATGCCCAAGCATGTCCAGCAATCACTTAACCACTTTCCTCCTTGGTTGCTTTGCCCCAGACACAGAGGTTTGTTTTTTGTTTATGGAGTTCATATTAGTTTACATCATTGTGAACTTTCAGTTGTACATTATTTCTTGTTCATCACCATATAAGTGCTCCCCTTCACCCCTCTTCCCCTGGTGGCCACTGAACTGTTCCCTTTGTCCATGTGTTTATCTTCCACATATGAGTGAAATCATATGGTGTGTGTCTTTCTCTGTCTGGCTTATTTCGCTTAACATAATACTCTCCAGGTCCTTCCATGTTGTTGCCAGTGGGATGAATTTGTCCTTTTTTATGGCTGAATAGTATTCCATTGTATAGATATACCACATCTTCTTTATCCAATCATTGGTCCATGGGCACTTGGGTTGCTTCCATGTCTTGGCTATTGTGAATAATGCTTCAATGAACATAGGGGTGCATAAGTCTCTTTGGATTGTTGACTTCAAGTTCTTTGGACAAATACCCAGTAGTAGGATAGCTGGGTCATATGATATTTCTATTTTTAGTTTTTTGAGGAATCTCCATAGTGTTTTCCATAGTGGCTGCACCAGTTTGCATTCCCATCAGCTGTGGATGAGGGTTCCCTTTTCTCCACACCCTCTCCAACATTAGTTATTTTTAGTCTTAGTTATGATAGCCATTTTAACAGGTGTAAGGTGGTATCTTAGTGTAGTTTTGATTTACATCTCCCTGATGATTAGTGATGTTGAACATCTTTTCATGTGCTTATTGGCCATCTGTATATCTTCTTTGGAAAAATGTCTGTTCATATCCTCTGCCCATTTTTTGATTGGGCTGTTTGTTTTTTTGTTGTTCAGTTGTTTGAGTTCTTTAAATATTATGGAGATTAACCCCTTGTCAGATATATGATTTGCAAATATTGTTTTTTAAGCTTTATTAATAGAAGTATAATCAACAGAAGATAAACTGCTCTATTTTAAGAGTACAGTTGGATAAATATTGACATGTTACTCCTGATAAATGATAATCACAATCAAAATAACAAACACATCCATTACACCCAAAGTTTCAGGTTCTCCTCCAGGACATATAGTAATGAGAACTAATGTTGCTCCAAAGAGGTTGTTTAGTTATTTATTTCATGCTTAACAAGGAAAAATTAATTGTTAGGGAAATTTCATATGTATTAAGAAACATGTACCTCAAGTGTCTGAATGTTCCTGAGAAGTTCCGTTCTTATGTACTTGATATTTCCTGCCCCAGATCAAACGTTACTTAAGTAAAATTTTTCACAGGAATCCTGAATTATTAGTGTTATTGTACATCCTCCTATTGCTGCTTTTGGTTGAAGCATCATTTTGAGTCTTAATCATTATTAACATAGAGTCTTTGGTACATTTCCACCCATAACAAATCATGAAAGAAATTTATAAGCCTTCTATAACAATAAAAGTTGAAAAATATTTGGAATCCTTTAGAAATGGTAAGAATGTGGTCAAAATATATTCATAGATGCTTGCTTATGGTCCTTGACAAGCCTATTGTTAGAAAAAAGTTTTCCTCAACCCTCTTAGGGTCTCTGGCTGGGTCTGAAAGTTAAACTGACAAAGACATTAACAGGAAAAAGGCACGCTAATGTAAGTTTCATGTGACACAGGAGCCTTCATAAGGAAATGAAGACCCAAAGAAATGGTTAGACCTGTGTAATTTTATGCTAGGTTTGGTGAAGAGTGGACAGTCATGAAGAAATATGGTAAGTTAAGGAGTATAAGGTAATTGTCGTAAACTAGGGTAATCTTAGCAAAGCCTGTTTGTTTGGACTCTTCTTGTCGTCCCTTCTAATCCAGAGGTAAGGATGCTTCTTTCCTCCCGGTACAGAGGAAGGGCACCTGTCACATAAGGGTTTTATGACTTGCTTAGGGAAGAAAGGCAGGGTGGGGAGGTCAAAGGGACCAACCTGTTTCTGCCATTTTATCAAACTCCTTCAGCTTAAAATATTCAATATGTCATGGTACCATATTTTGAGGTAGCATCAGTATACTTTACCACAATGAAATAAATGATACCCTGCATAGAATTATAGTATGGCAGCCACCTATTGGGTAAGATCTGATGTGATAATTTCTAATCACTGTTGTTTAATTTTAATGAATTTTTGTATGGACTAGGCAAAAACTGAAGAAAGTAACCAAAAATAGCAGTTAGAATTTCAAAACTGATAAGACTCATTAAATGTTAGAGATAGTAGTTTTAATTTAATCAGATATCCTCTACTTTCTGTTTTGCAAAACTTTTAAAATATTGTTTCAGTTATACAGTTCTTCATACTTCTAGACCTAAAACATAACCTCTGAATATTAGTTTTCCCTAATTAAAATAAGCTTACTATAATTTACCATTTCTTCCTCATCACTTTTAATACATATAGAAAAAAACAACCACTAGCCTTATTATACTAAAGTGATAAATGGGATGAAATCGAATTAGGTTGCTGAAAGGATGTGGTTGGGTGCGGTCAACCTCAGTCAGTCCCCAGGGCATCCTGCAGCTTTCCCCTCCCTACAACAGGGGGTCCCTTGGAGGACTGTGAGATGTCACCTAGTTCCATGTTCTGTGGTCTCTAGAGTCAGTCTCCCTGATAGCAACCAAACCAAACCGCGATACCCCCGCCCGTTCTGCTGGGAGTCAGCTCAGTTAGCTTCTTTGAAAAATCTAATTCACTTTAAGAAAATGAGACTCCTAATTCATGGAGGTTTAGCGAAATATGAGGTTGCCTTTTCATACCATGTTAATGTCTTACATAAATGGCTTTGAGGACATGCCAGCCTTATGACTATCTTAATGCTATTTATATTTAGATCTTCTTTTGTTTGTTTCATAACTGCATAGCTGCAATTGTGAGGTTCTACCTAAAGTTTTATTCTTTTTCATTCTAGATTCTATGAAAACTTTAATATAGTTATTTCTCTCCTTTTGGTGGGAGGGAGAAGGACTGAAGTATGAACCAAAAACTCTCTAACTTTCAGGGTTTTGACAGGAAGATGAAGTACTTATATACATACAGGAAGATAAAATACTGTCTCCTCAAAATTGACTTTTCATTGAGATTAGATAATCACATTTCCTATATCACCCCAGACATTACAGAGCATCACAGAATTTACTTCAAGGATCCTAAAGAAATGTCTTAGCTCTTCCTGTTACTAGAATAGATTCTAAGAGCTTGAGCATAGCATGTTTATATGAAGCTATCAGTTTCACTGGTGAAAAAAGTAAATAATATTCAAAATTTCTTTTGAGAATCTTAGAATCCACTTAATTTTGGACTGGCACTTTCACCAGACACACAAAAGTAGATCAAATTGTGATTATCTATCTGATGCCAAAGCTTTCTGTAAATATATATTTTGGGAACAGCAGCACTAAAAATAATAAAGACGTTTCAATGTTCGATGCTTTACTTT